TTAGGACTTTTACTAGTTTGTATTTGCTTATTTTCTCAAACAGCTTTGCTTTTTGTTTTTAGCTTCTTGTTTTTAGCTTCAATCACAGTTTCAGTTTATATAAAATTGGTAATTTACAACAGCTACCACAGGACTTGAACTCAGCATTAAACTACATTTAAGTGCAAAAAACACAACAGTATCAACCATTTGCATAAAAATGTGGTTTTAATGGTATTATTTTCTACATTTTGATCATTTGTAGTCAGGTTGAAAAAAAGCATTGTTAAATTTGTGATCTAACAAATTTTTAAATTAAATGTCATGATAAATTTATACTTTTCAGTTTTAGGAATTTAATTCTAATTTGAAGCTAAGTGTTGGTAGAGTTTTACACCAGTCTAATATTTTTCAATTTCAGAGCATGTGTGCTGTCAATGTTTTGATAAAAACCATCTCTTATTAAAGATTTATTCTAGTCACTTGAATGTTTCGTCACATTCAGCTGCAGACTGGTGTCGATCATTTCTCTTTTAGAAGCTGTCAGATATTTCAGTCTGTCTTCACGTCTTGTTCACGTGTAGTAAAATTTTCTCTCACTCTGACAGCAGCTGTTTCAGAGTAATATATATTCGCTTCTTTGATTTCACTTTTTGTAGTAATTTTGAAAAACCTAAGTTAGTTTCTTTCCCCATTTGACAGCAGATGAAAATGTGAATTTTGGTTCCACAGCTGAATCTGTGACAGAGTTCATTGAAAAGTGAACTGACACACTTCTTTCAAAGTTGTCTGCTGTAAATCTACACTTTGTTTTTGAATTGTTGCAGAAGACGAGGCTAAAAATAGAAAATTGGACATTTCTGTAATTTTCGTCTAATGACTGTGACAGGCCCACACATCTACACCTACTCCTTCCATCATCGATACAGTTCTGTTAGCTTTCAGATTATTTGCTGCCTAAAAAATGGCAAAACTCAACAGCAATGCAACCTTTAATAAAACATGATTATAAACTTCTGTTATGATTCAGGGTGTTTCAAATAGGTTTTTTTTTTTAACAGAAATGGTCCTGACTGAGCTGAAGCTAACAAGTATTTAAGGTGTATTTCAGAATAGGCCTAATTCTAAGGAGAATTGACACATTTTTGTGACTTATGTGAACTCAGCATTAGGATAGACTAAAATAACCAAAGCTGTCTGTTAACATGAATCATTCCACCTTAAAGCCCTAACAGTGTGCTATATGTCTTGTAAAGCCTTCCCAGTGCACTGCTGGTCATGCTGCCTGCCCAGCAGTGCACCTGACAGGCTGCAGAACGCCTTAAGGCCCGGGGTGTTGTCTGAGAATGGCACCAGAGAAACAGAGAGACGGGGACAGAGAGGTAGAGAGAGAGACGGGTAGAGAGATGGCTGTAGGGTCACTGCTTCTGTTTGGGTGGAAACTAAAGACAGATGTGAGACAGGTGGGCTCTGGATGTCTGTTCTATATACAGAAAAACAGGATGCATAATCAGAATGTCCAACCTAACCAAAGCTGGGGCTGCCGTGCTGACTCCTCCATCACTGCCTGTTGCCATGGTAACACTGTTGGGGGAGACTTGGTGGAGGGGAAGCGGAGGCAGCTGCAGCTCTGGTGCCCTAAAAGCACCCCCCCCCCCCCCCCAAAAAAAAAAAAAAAAGTAAGATGGGCGTCACCGCAAACACGGGTCACCATGGCTACGCTACACCGGGACACCACAGCTGTCCTTGGAAAAACACACACAACCATACACACACACACAC